CTGGTCGTCAAACTATTCGAGAGATTTCGTGGTTTCCCTCTCCAAGTAAAGCAATTATGGGTTAGTTCCATCAAAAAGTCCTACACGAATACCAGTTTGTCCCAATTCTTGATCTAGGAGTTCTCTTGTCTTCTGTGTTTAAAATTACAAGGCTACGGAATTGAGCAATGATATTCTCAGAATTGAGTCAATTGTTCTGCGCCGGTCATGAGATAAAATAAAATATTTTAACGCAAAAATGTATCGTAGCGGGTAAGTAAACTATAACTTCACTCTAACTCGTTCTCGAATTGTAAACAATTTACAGAAGAAATTCAAGGTGCACCAACATGAAGTGAAAATAATTCTGGTAAGGTGTGAATGCGCGTAAGTTTGGGGTTTTACCATGATAAGATTTATTTACACCCTTTAAATTGAAAAATCAATTTGTTAAAATAAAGCTTTCCTTCACTTAATTGTCGGAACTGTTCAACATAAAATTTCGAGAGATATTACACCATGTTTGAGTATTAAATTCTAAATTTGCACCAATTTCTTAAGTGGAAGATTTTTGGGGTGCTGCCAATGATATATTTGTGAAATAAAATTAACTAGAAAATAAGGAAAAAAGGTGTTTAAACTTTTATTTTATTATTATTCAGTAATTGCCACTTTTATACCTTTTTCCTATTAGAGTGACGTTGTATATTTTAGTAAATAAACCAGCAAGAACACAATTGTAGAATTTCTACGTTTTGTGAGGAATAAATGCAGCTATAGAATTTATTCAATGGTTTTCATAGCAACTCTTAGCTATCTTTCCGAAGAAGTTCTGACACATTCGATTAAGTGATCAACAATTGGCAAAGCTCCATTTTTTTAAATGCTGAATCAAATGAGACATTGTCAATAGAACGTTTAAATGGACCTCAGACCAAGCACCAATTCCTTTACAAATTCTTCCAAGCTGCAAACTGTTTCTGACTCTTCACTGCAACTTTCTGTTTTTTATCTAGCCTTAACCATAAGCTTCATTATTGAAAATACAGAACTATAAGCTAACGCAAAGAACTCGTAACACTTTTCTAGAATCTACAATCATACACCCTTATAGCATCAGTATGTGGCTCTTAAAAAAAAAGGAAACTATCAACCACCATCTTATTTAATATCTTAGGTACAGTTATCCCGGAGAAAATCCTTCTTTGGTATCAATACTACGAAACAAAAAATTTTCAAGACAGTGTAATTTTATGTAAGAACTGTTGAGGTTTTGGAAAACGTGACAAATACTGTAAATTTCCATCCAGATGTCACAACTGCGGAGACCTTTTCTCCGAACATCAGGACCCACACAATAGGGACCCGTGTTGCAGGAATTGTAACGGAAGTCATAATCTAAATCAGCGGGATTGTCCTGCATATTTAAATCTTCAAAAACTAATTAGAATTAAGTCTACTCATCATGTTCCGATGTGCGAAGCTAGAAGAATAGCCTTTAAAAAATAAAAAATAAACTCCTACGCAGAAATAGCTCTGTCGCAGGAGAATATATTACTCGTGTTGAGTTAAAATCGGAACTTAACAAGTTCGCGGGATCCATGCAACAACTAGTTGAGAGTATCTGAGCAAAACAAGTTTCTATACTGGCGGCTCAAATTTAGAGTTTGACAGCCTCTATAAACCATCCTTATTCCAGAGATAACAAACATCCAACGTAGCACCATTTCCCAGGGTCCGTCAACAGGAACCAAATTTTAACCTACTTGCCCCACTTCTCTTCAGAGCGGGCAAAAACAAGCAGAAAACAAACAATTCCTCCTCCTATATGGAATTTATTACAAAACCTCTCCCACCAACAGGCCAACCTGTAGTCCAAGATCTGCCTTTGCCTATGGACAACACATTATCAATGCCTCTCATACCGTTGAATGACGGTGTGGACCAAATATCTCTTGACACTTTAGAAAATTACTTTTAATCTATATACATGAATATATAAAGAATATATAACAAAATCTTCTACTCTATACTCTGTCCCAGTCGCTTAGGGAAATTTTTCACAAAAAAAAATATTTCTTACCTTTTCTATAAACTTCCTCATATATAGAAATAAAGGCCACTGGCTGATTCAAAACATTTTCGCAGAGGCCGATATCATCGCTATTCAAGAATCTTTCCTTCAAACCGATGATCAGCTAAATTTTAGAAATAAACTTACTCTCCGACAGGATCTTGACCCCCAACCATAGAGGTGATACCCTCTTAGCTATTTCAAAACCTATCCCGTTTCAGACTTCCATTATCTCACTCTTCCCGATTGTGATACTCGGTGTCAAAACCCATGTTAATAAGAAGCAAATTACGGTCAAAAATATCTCTTCATCAGAAGGAATTTGTTCCCCATAATGGATGGAAATTTTTTATTCTACCATCCAAAAACCTTTCATCATCGTCAGAGATTTTATGTGCGACACCGTACCTTCGGCTCAGTCTCGTCCTTCCAAACAGCTGACATTTTACTTGACTGGATCTTGTCAAATAATATCACAATCCTGAACACAGAAACTCCTACCCATTGAAGGGGCCTACATCACTTACCATCATTACTCAATCTTACTCTAGTTTACCCCGAACTTTTCCAGAAATCTTCTTTCTCAGTCTTCCCAGACCCCTTTGATAGTGATCATTTACCCGTATTAACTGAGGTAAATTTTTCATTAAGCAATCCTTGCTCACCCCATCCGTATTTTCATATACAAAATGCACAAAACGCAATAGCTCAAGTTCTGTCTGATGATAATTTTATTGCAAAAGACATAGAAAAATATGCAATCTTATAGTCAAAGCTAATACCAGCATCAAAAATACCTCACCTCATCCCACGACTCCGTGGGAGGATCAAAAATGCGCGTATCTGTTTGGTCAAAAGCGTAAATATTTGCGGAAGGCTAAAAAACAAGTCTCATCAGCATTTTGGCTCAAATATAAACAATGCTCCGAACAATTCCGCAAGTACATTAATTGATACCATATACATTTGCAGGCTTGTGTGCTCAATTAAGGTTTATAAATCTTTGTCAAGTAGAAGGACAGATAGCACAATACAGAGAAGGACATCACAAAGAATACATCCAGAATTACGGCGGGATTCGAACCCGCCACCTCAACGCTTAACAGAGCGTTTTGCGGGCGATACCGCTTGGCCAGGGAGGCCCCAAGTACATTAAAAGCAGAAAAAGTTATTGGGACTACATTTGTCCCAATTTAGGGACCTCAAAGAACAGATTTGAAATCCTAAAAAACATCTCGACGAGAAACTCCTGATATCCCTTCAGAAATCTGATTCTAACCCACCAAGTGACAGCAATTAAAAACCCATTAGACCAAGCCAATCTTTTCGGTGAAGATCTTTTTCGTGTCCAATCCCTTTCTCGCTTTGGGGCACCTGTAACAAAGATTTGGATATCCCTTTCTCGCAATCCGAACTGGGAGCAGCTTTACATCGAACAAAGAATACGGTTCCCGGACCAGACCGCATTTCGGCTAATCTCATTATATTCATTCACTCTCGCTACCCAAAACAGCTCCTTAACTTCTTTAATGATATTCAAGATGCAGCTCGCCCCCCTAGTTTATGGACTCAAGTAAAAATAGTTCCCATCCTAAAACTAGGAAAGAAAAACCTCAGAAATTCGCAGTTATCGACCGATTGCTCTCACTTCTACTTTCACGAAAGTCTACGAACGTATGCTGCTGCAAAGGCTCCTCAATTTTAGTCTCCAACAAAATTGCTTCCGTCCCTCCCACAATGGCTTCCTCCCTTTTCGAGACTGCAAGATAACTCACCCAATACTTTACCATGAGATACTGCAAGCAAGCGAACGAAGGAAATACATTGTCTGCATAGCACTCGATCTCGTTTTTCTGCATGCGATAACGTATGGATTGATGGTCTTCTTATACCAAACTGCTTTCGAACGGCATCTCTGGAAAAACTGCCCTCTTCTTACTCAACTTTCTCTCTAATAGAACCTTCTACATCTCTTAGCTCCACACCCGGTCTAAAGATTTCCAGCAACCCCAGGGCCACCCGCAAGGCAGTGTCCTCTCCCCCTTCTTTTTATGTTTTATCTTAAAGACATTCACAAAAACCTTTCTACTGGAGTTCAAATTCTTGTGTTCACCGATGAAATCTACAGTTATTGCGCTGTAAAATCTCTTGACAGGGTCATTGCTAAACTCCTAGATGCTCTCACCACTATCCGCACTTGGTGCACAAACTGGGAAATGGCTATTTCATCCTCAAAAAGTGCAGCTATTAACTTCTCCAACAAACATCTATCACCTCCAATTCAATTAACAATCTTTAATGAACAAATTCCCCAAGTAAATTCCCTCAAAATTCTCGGTCTCTATTATACTGTAGTATCTATTATATGATAAGACATTTTAATCTCGCGTCTCTGAAGTAACACAAGTCCCACAGTGGATTGATCGCTATGAAACGGTTCCCAGAACATCACTGAAGTCAAGCATCACTAGCTGCGGTCAGTGTGTGGGTGCTGACCACTTCGATAAGTCTGCGTAGGAACCGAGGGAGTGCGGTATTGATCCTCGTTAAATTGCTCTACAATAAAGAGCTCGACTTCGCGTGCAGGTCGTTGGGCTACCAAAGCGGGGGTGCCATACCCTCTGCAGAGGATCAAAATTGTGATGCCATGTCTTCGGGTCATCCTCAGGGATGTTCTCAGACAGTCCCAAATAGCCCATTGTGCAGCTCTAGTGCGACATAAATGAATTGCAACAACAACAACTATAACAGCAACTACCGAAGTAACACAATTCAATTATATTATATTTGGAACAAGACTCAGAATTTGGACTCGTGAACTCCCCTTTGTGTGATCATTGTCAGTCCCCAGAATCTGTAAATCATCGCCTCCTGAAGTGCAGAAGGTTCGATCTTCATTAACAAGCGCCGCGTGCCTCAATCGGCATTCGGTGCTCAAGCGAAGATCGTCATTCAACCCAACCCAACTCTTCTTCATCCAACTCAACAGCCATCAGAATGTGTCTGTTTTCTGTATGAGTATTTTAGTTGAACGGTTTCAGCTATTTGAAAGAAAAATGCCGACTTCAACATTGGATGCTAGAACAAGAGTATTTTCTTTTGCAAAGGCAAAGAATACTACAGTTGCTCAAAAGATTAAAGAGGCAATTTCAGCTGTTGGTGATGGTAATTCTTGTTTTTTCATTAAAGAGGGTTTCAAGTCATCCCTTTCAACTCTGAATTGAACGTATAAAAGTTTTATGTTTTTGCATATTATTAACATATAAATGCTTCACATTTCTGTATAATAACTTAATGACTCTTGAAATTTTTCTACATTAACCTAGTGAAGCTTGATATTTCTGTATTTATAAAAGCATGATATTTCTGTATATTAATTCATCAAAGCTTGATATTTCTGTTTATTGCTTTATCAAAGCTGGATAGTTCTTCATATTTTATCAAAGCTGGATAGTTCTTCATATTTTATCAAAGCTGGATAGTTCTTCATATTTTATCAAAGCTGGATAGTTCTTCATATTTTATCAAAGCTGGATAGTTCTTCATATTTTATCAAAGCTGGATAGTTCTTCATATTTTATCAAAGCTGGATAGTTCTTCATATTNTTTACTAAAGCTTGATATTTCTGCACATTAATTTACTAAAGCTTGATATTTCTGCACATAAACTTAATAGAACTCTGTTTCTTAGTTTAATAATTATAATATAATTATTAAACTAAGAAACAGAGTTATATATTATAATGAAACATTTTTCGAACAAAGAATTAATGTTCTTTTTTAGATTACGTTCCAAAGTAAAATGTGCGGTAAGACAAAAAAAATTTCCCTTGAATAACTTTATTTGAATTTTTCTTTTTAGATCAGATTAAAAGAGAATCTTAAAAATACCGCGAACTTTATATCTCAAATTCTGTTTGCGTTATTGCCCTTTATTTTGCATATATCGAAAGATACTGTTGAACAGAGTAAATGTCCACCATCAATTCATTTGCAAAAATTAAAGATATTTCAAAGAATGTTTCGAATTTTTCTTCTTGGTCTCCACCCTATCGACAGTTGAGTTTGGTCGAGAGAGTTCTTAAGCGAATCGAAAATTTTTTGTCACACAAATCTAAAAATAATTTATCCAATGACAATTTTTAAAAAAAAAGTATTTAAAATTTTTTTTCTTTTGATAATTAAATGGTGCAAAAATTAGAGATACAAAATACAACTTGATTGAAAGGTATACAAATTAATGTTTAAATCTTACAAATTTTAAATTACATAATTTTAAATGGCAAAATATTGATTAAACGAAAACTGTCACAGCTTTTGAAAAATCAAAATTTGAAAGTAAATTTGCTTTAACTCACACTGGTTTAGTGAGATGTCACAGAAATTTCATATTGGAAAATTTTTACATTTTAAACTACCTTATTCTGTTTTTCGATCTTTTTATTTAAAAATATTATTTAAAATAATTAGTATAAAAATTTTTGCGTATGGGAGATTTATAATTTGTTACTGATATGTCGATTGATACGCGCTCTGCTCTTATGTTTCCGAATAGATTTTGAGTCTAAAATTGAGTTTATCTATTTAGAAGTTGTGTTTATTACTTATTTTGCTACTGTTTTGAAAATACCATATTCAACCTTATTTATTGATAGAAATTAATACTTCTAATTAGTATTTGAGAGTACATGAAAAATTGCGTTAAACTAGTTTCTTAGCGTAATTAATGCGTCATGAAACAGTATGGATCCTCGTAAAATAAAGTTCTATCCCGAATGTTGAATTATTCAATGGTAATAAAAATAAAATAAACTTTTAAATTATTCTAGGGCCTATCTAAGTGGCACTGCCTTTATCTAACTATACAGTCTAATCCCACTTTGAAACTCGGATATAATGAACACTCGGCTGTAATGAACTTTTTAGTGGTTAATTTTTGCATTCTATTATCAACGCTTATAGTGGGACAAATGGGTAATTCGTTTATAGTGGACTCGAATTTCATTTCCTAAAGTTTTTTTTTTTTTTTCTAATTTTGAATTTGGTGGAGTTGATTGCAAATTCTTTATATTGTGTTAAATTTTAATCTCCCATGTTGTCGTAAGCCATTAAGGCAATTGGTGCGATTACTCTTGTTTTCCAGTGGCGCCATCTATGACCAAGAATTCGACTTCTGCCTCACTCATACATCACATCCGTTTATATCGCGGACCCAGTCATACAGCCATTCATTCATCTACAGATCGTAATTTTGACCAGAACCAGAGAACTAAACATCTCCAATTCAGTACCTCCAGAGGTATTGATTTGTTATAGGAACATGGAGGACTTCATGACACGACAAATTCAATGTGCACCAGTGACCATTTACTACGCGGGAGGAGTCGGTCGGCTGGATTTAGAACACCCATTCTCACGAACGTAAATCCAGGACCCAGTCAACAAGGCTATCCCGGCCCCATGCTTAACGCTTTTAAACTAGGGTGAAAATGTTAAGCAGCATTTCCTCTCCTGCCCACCCCTCTATGTTGAAGATGAACCCCTATGGCGAACAAAAAATTTTATCTTTAGAGTGAAATCTGCATTAAATATTTTGAATACTTTGTACGGCAAGAAATGAGAAAATACATCATTCTTTACTAGTTGTTAATACTAAAATTGCTGAACTCTACTTCATCGAATTGTAGTCAGTCTGAAATCATTATCTTCTATAGAATTTAAAAATTAACTAATCATTTTCCTTTCAAATACTTCATTTAATTTATATATAATTTATGTTCCATATGGTAATCATTATTTCCAACAATGCCATTATCAATGTCAGAAAAATTTTCTAAGAATTTGGATATAGTGAGCCACCGTTTATACTGATTATTATTGCTGGATCTGCAGACAGTTCATTAAAACGAGGCTCTGCACTTTTGAAATAGCATTTGGATTTGGCAATAGCTCTGGTGCTATAAATGTTGAGAATCAATTTTGTTTATTTTGCATTTAGCATAATTTTTGCATTTGCGCAGATATGACGATAAACTCAAAACCAATTGAAATAAAATAACTGTTTATATATTTAAGATATTACGCTAAAATGATTACAAAACAATGAGAATGAATTGAAAAATGAGTATGAAAGCAGCATTGAAAGTTTTGGTATGAATTTGTATAATTATCGCGCAATATCACCCGTCTTGGCTAATAATAAAATTTCCTTTAGCCCCTACATTAATCTAATAAAATTTTAGAGCTTCATCTCCCAGTAGAGCTACCCTTGTTCGAATACAGGCCATGGCTGATCTCTTAAAATGCTGCTCTCTACTACAACAGGCTTAAAATATGTCCAAGTGATAGATGAATAATCAGTTCGTTGAATCGTGGAAGTGTTTTCTTTCCACGCATATTAGTATTACATCGCTTGATTCAGAAGTTCCCTTGTCTTCTAGGTTGGATTCAAAATTGCAGGCTACAGAGTTGAGTTACAAGAATCAGCCCTTTTCAACGCTGGTAATAAAAAGCAATGGCTACACTTAGATGTTTTAATTGTACAACTTAGACATTTTAAAATAATACAATATGTACTTTCCTTTTATATGAAAAATTGAAATTTTACTGAAAAAGCATAATTTTGATAATACATTTTCCATGTGTAAGAACGTGTCATGGTCTAAAAGTATTGAATATCAAATTTGTTCTAACAAATCCATCAATACAGTGATATTCATTAAAATAAAATGTGTTAGATGTAGCTGCATATTCTTATATGAAATTAATCTAATAGTTATTCATAAATATTAGAAATTTTCAGTCCTAGTTAATATGATCATTAACATAAGCACGTTTCATTCGTTTTTTCTTTACACGAGTTATTTAAATCTTAGTGAAAAACATGTTAAGCAAAATTTTGAATTGACTGAATTTCTCATGTTTAAAAGCGTGTGATTTGTTTTAAATAGGTAACTACCCTATTTTTGTTTCAACCGAATTCATTAAACAACAGTCAATAGAGTAAGATAAACAGCCACCTATTTTGTGTTAAGTTATTCTAATTAATAACAATATCGTTTGTTATTAAAAATTGATTATTATGTTATAATAATCAATATTTAAGTATAATGGTTTGAAATCTGCAGCGTAATTACGAAAAATGTAAATTGTTCAAGTGCCCCTTACGGATATCTAAAGGATTCTCCTGAAGTGATTGTCATTTTAAATTTTACAAAATGCTTACATTAAATGTTAAATATAAGTATTTACCTAAATTTTAGAAATGACAATTTTTAAATAAAATACAAAGCTGGGATATGCCAGCATTATTAAAAAATTGTATGCCAAAAAGAATTTATTCTTCTGGGTATACCTCTTTTTACGAACAGTTAAAAGGCAAGCATTCTTATTACACAGGGTAATATAGTGATAAGCCACATTTTTTAATTAGGAAATATTTTTACATGAATTTTAGTATTATTCCTAGATGCGCGCAGATACATAAAATCACCCCGAATAACTTTTTGATGTATAATATTTTCAAAACTACGAATTTTTTTAATTCTACCAACAAAACAAAAAAACTGCCCCACAAATTTTTTACATTGTATTATATTTCCATGCAATATTTTCACGTTTTAAAAAACAAATCTTCACTCAAACTTCATAGTTTAAAAAGATATACAGAGAACTCAAATTATCCCCACTTCAGATTATATCAGATTACTTTGAAGATTTCAAAAATTATATACCTCCTGATCATTCTGTGTTTTTTTTTTTTTTTTTCCTTCGTTGTTTCAGTGATTTATACTTTGAACAAAGACTTCTGTTGCATATTTGAAATATGTACAAATATGTGAATAACTTTTTTGTTTGAACCTTTCATTTAGCTTTTTGATATCCGCGGTTATCCGTAGTGCCCATTTCCCCTCCATTCTGCGGGTAATCTGGGCTCTTGTAATTTAACCCTTAACGGTCAGGAATTATCTTCAGTTAACTTCTCACTTGATATAATTATAATTATGATTAATTACAATTGTAAATATAACAGCAGATGTGATTAAAATAATTTCATTGTTTTAGCCATCATATGTGTGGTATTTGACCCAGTAAAAGTGCTATGCCACTTATTGGTTCTTTGAGGGTTAAAATANTTAATAAGAAAATTTATAGGTATCTAATAATAACAATAGAAAGTAGGCAAAATAACTGGTTATGTGAAAATACTAAGTGCAGACAGTGCGATTTTGTAGGAAAGTGAGAAACTAAGTAGACTATTGTTTTATTGATCCGATTTTTTCTCCCACAATTTAATTATTAGTTTCTAATTGCTATATATATATTTTTTCTAATTGCTATATATATATTTTTTCTAATTGCTATATATTTCTAATTCTATATTTGTAATTACTATATATTTTTTTAAAATATTTATTTTCCGGTTAATTCCTCTGATGAAGTAGAATGGCCAAAAAACTGATATTTCAATTATTTTCCAGAAATGGTCAATGCATGAGTTTCCGAGGTCACTGATTGAGATTTTCTTCTTTCAATATCCACAGATGCTGAAAATTGAATAAGTCTATATTAAGTTATATTTTATTGTTATTCAGGACTATTATACATACATCATTCTAAATGTATAGCATGGCGATAGTAACAAGAAAATCTGCTTTTTCAAGGACTAATTATAAATAAATAATTCTATTTTTCAGAATTTATTAAATTATTATTAGAATTTATGGGATGGGTTCTTTTTCCTAAGTATTACGCTGTTGAACGGATAACGAGTCTCTTCAAAAAACCCTATGTTGCATAATAATTTCTTAAGCAATTTCAAATACCGAAACTGATTTTCTCTTAGAAAATTATTTAAATAAATATGTTTTATAATTTCATTCGTAATTGGTTGTTAAAGCAAGGAAAATTGTTTCGAGTGTTTTTATTAGTATTCAAAAATTCTAAAGAAAGGTAGAAATTCTATTTACCAAATATCTTTATTTTTAATGAAAATAGTCAAAAATCATGTTTAGTTTTATTAAAAAGTAGAAGAAAAAATTAAATTTTCTTCAATAAGACCCTTATTTCGGAGAGACCTTGGTTCTGCATAGATCCTTAGAATGAAGGAGGGGATCACCATTTCATAAATCGCAATGAAGATTCTATTCAATTTAGCCAATCACTGATCTAGCAGTTACTCTACCGGACTATGGTTGTGGGTTCGAATCCCACAGTAAGCATAGATGTCTGTGTGTTCTGTGTCCTTTCTTTTGTGTGAATGTAACCAATCCTATAAAGAGATTTGTGGTTGCATGACGTTGGCGACGCTAATCCATCGCCGTGTCTTAGCCACAGGTGCCCACTGGGCAATTCTAGCATTTCTGAGGTCAATGGGAAATAGACCCAAGAGCAAGCCATTAAAATACTCTATTCAATTTTACATAGAGTTTTTAAACTACTGTATTTTACTAATTGTAAAGGTAGTTTTTAAAAACAATAATGAAAGCACAATTATTTCTGAGTATCAAAATTCACATGCAGAAAACCACTTTGTATCGATAATAATTGGAATATATTGATAATTAGTTTTAATTTTCTTACTTTTCTTTCTACTGAAAAACAGTATTGATTAGTACATAAATGTTTTGGGTCTTGACCTCTAGAATTCTGTGGGACGCTTCTTTTTAACTATTGTTTTCAATTATTAAGCGTTTAATATGCTAAGACTTTCTGTTAAATGTCTCGTAAAACTGGAAATTCTTCACTGTGATCTTACAAGATAGCAATATTTTACAATTGTCAACATTCTTGGAAGGAGCACATGTAGCATTGTAAACGAACACAAGTCTTATTTGTGAAGTGATTACTTAATTTACTATAAATTCTAATTTTAGTCCGTATTGACTTTTAACCCTCTGTATTCTCAATGTAGATGGATCTTAATATTAATTTGTGGGTATAAATCTGAATTTCAGTAGGAATAGTACTTTTTCATTTTACGTGAAATTTTACCAAAAATATTAGTTTTCCTTAAAATAATAGTATTTTTTCCATTAGAATTATTTATTGTTAGAATTTTATCATTCCAATGAAAATTTAAGCAGAAACCGTCCTGATTTTTCCCCAACATGTGTAAATCATAAGGAATCTGCAAAATTCAAAAGCATAGCAGTGTTATCGCAAAAAGAAAAACAAAAAAAATGAAAATACTAATAAAAAAAACTAATTTAGAAAAGGTGTCCTGTTGTTGTCGTCAGCCATTAAGGCATTGGGGGTGCGATTGTTCTTGTTTTCCAGTGACGTCATCTTTGGCCAAGAATTGGACTTCTGAAAAGCCCATACGTCACACCTGTTTAAAAGTGAACCCATTCCTTCGTCCCCAGACAGTAATTTTGACCTGAACCAGAGAACGATCAATTTCCAATTCTGTACCCACTGAGGTACTGATTTGTTATGGGATCATGGAGGACTTTTTGACCTGATATGTATAGCGTGCACCAGTCACCGTTTACTAGAAAGGTGTCCTACTGTAGGATAATAGAAGGATAGTACCAAAATACATTAAATATCATATATATATATATATATAAGCTTCGGCTATGGTTATTTCTGGGCAATTTTATGACAAAAAGAAAACTCTATAAAACTTAACAAAATATTTTCTAACATTTGACTTAAAATGCCCTTAAATGACTTACTTAAAATTTAATTTTTTTTCTTTTCAAAAACCATTCATACTCTCACTACAGCCAATAGAAGGCTTCTCACTTTACCTGTTTTGATTGTTCTTGGTTGAGTCTCCTTCTACTAAGTTTTTCCTATTCCTTTTAATCATCTATCAATAAAAAATCAATTAAAATTATCGTTTTAAATGAAATTATCTTTGGATGATAGTTTTTAAAAAGTGCAAATTTTAATTACCATTCTAAATTCCAGAGATATGGCAGGATTAGTGAAATGGGGATTAAGTCTATACCAGAGGTGGGTAAACTATGAGAGGCTACATTTAAATAAAGGAGGCCGCATGATACCTATAAATGTGACTTTTGTGTAATTATAATTTTTGCTTAGTTTTATCACTTTTTGTGTTATATAGAAATAATGCATTAAGTCATTTATTAAAAATAAAGTTTGCAATATAAAATTTCATATTTACATAAGACTAATGACATATTTTAATATTTAATAATTTTTTAATAAACAAAATGTGCTTAAATACTATTTCAAATAAAAATAAAGTAGAAGCATTTTTAAAAAAAACTTCAATCTTTTAAATATTTATATTCTTTGAGTCAAATAGTGTTTCTTTGCAACATTCACTTTTCTCAAATTAAAACTGTATAGCACGATAAACACACCATTTTACTTTTCACAGAATTAAAAAAAAAATCACCACTTTACATTAAATGTTCCGTTTTCTTCATATAACTTTCTTCTGTTACTATTTGACACGGAGATAAAACGAATATCAAATAGTATCTTTAAGTAACCGTGCTCTTACTAAAAGTAATAAAACCGTGTATTAAAAAAATATCAGAATTAGTAAAACAATAACTAAATTTTCACAATGACCGATAGCAATACAAAAGAGACTCTCAGGTAAGTTACAAGTGAGCAACTTACAAGGGAATGATGAGAGATGATGGGCAAAAGGAGAAAAGTAGGTACTGTCAGTCTCTCAGAACAGCCACCGTCACGGTGTCTGGGGATGGCAATGCTCGATGGATGGCAGTGCGTTATTTAATTATATTAAATTTCTAATTGTCGTAATATATGTAATTAAATATTAATACAACAGCAAGAGACCACTTAAGAAATTCATGGAGGCCTCGGATTTACCTCCTCTGGTCTCTACCCTTATATTATAATGATCAAAAATCCAAATCTATGAGATAGTTTTATTCAAATATGTGAAACTTCCTAATTTAATACATAGTTAGCACTAATTAGCGTATTTGTATTGAACCCTTCCAACCAATATCATTGGCACTCATGACGTAAAACTCCATTTATTTGAACCAAGTTAGTCAGGATGATTGCATTTTTCTCTTGTTTTTTAGAAGTTTCGGGAATTTTGAACAATACGATGCACAGAAACATCTCATTGCCTATATGTAAATTGTGTTCTTCATCAAAAACTATCTCATTTATAATTTGAAATATGACTTAGCATTAGTTTATCCCTTTAATTCCTCAGTTATTAAATTAAATTTAATTTCAGGTAATGAAAATAAAGGAGCATCTGTGTCTGCAATTGTAACATGGATTCTGAGTAAGTTTTTTTTTAAATGATGAACACTTCACTATCAATATTTATTATTGTAGATTTAGAACTTTGATAATTAGCAGTACTTGTGCATAATTAACGTTGCAGAAATTTTTCAGGATCACCCAAATCTGTTTTTCTCCCTTTCAATAGCTATAAAAAATTTTAAAATTTAAACACAAATTTACAATCTCAAATTAACTGTTTAAAACTTTTAACCATATTTATTGCTTAATAGAAAAATTCTATGGAATTTTTAAAAATTATCCCCATGTCTAATAAAAAGGCTCCTTTTTTCCCACTGTTTTTGAAAAGTAAATCAGCTAAATATCTTTTTTTTTACACAATAACATTTTATTATTATTAGGGTAAACCAACCAGTGATTGAACAATTAGCTTGACTTTAAACAGCTTGTCTTCAAAAATTTCATAATATTTTTAAAATCTGTAGTTTCTGGTAAATGACAGTCAACATATTTGTTGTAAAATACAAATTATTTAAAAATTGAGGGAATTTATGAAGTATTTCAAGGTTTTGGACATTTATATAATAAATAAGGTAACCAAGTGAGTGAACAGCCCCTACCAGTGAATAAACACTATTTCTGTGACTGAACACTTGGTATTCTGAGTATTTTATGTTTTCAGGCACTTGTACGACTTATATAAATCATACAAATGTCCGAAAATATAAAATACTAATTATTTTGAAAAACTTTACACTAGGTCATATAATGCATATGGGTATCGAAAAATACGTCTATTAAATAGGGAAAAAATTTAAATTTTTTGTTATTTCGGATACTATTTAAATAACAAGATAGCCTGAAAAGAAATTGAGAGGCATCAGTTCTATTTGTTTTTAAAAAAAGTCCTGAAATTACCAAATCTTGAATTTGTGTAGAATAGGTCTTATATTTCCTTAATTTCAATCTTTAACACTAAACATATCATAACCACTCAAATGACCGTTTAAGAGCATCGAAAATGCGCTATCGTTTTTGCACATTTGACTTCATGACTTTTTCTAACTAACTATTTCTCACTATTTATGACTAACTATTTCTCACTATTTCTAACAGTTAATTTCTATTAATTTTTTTTTTGTATTTTGTTTGTTTTGAATAATACTTGTCGTATACCCATTTCTACCACTTTATTGCTTTATAAGGTTATCGGATCAGAAATTACGATGTAATACGTGTTCAACGTATTGCATTCGATTGGCTGCACATTTCTGCAAAGACAGTTGCGTAGTTAGTTCAATCAGGATAACTGTAAATTCGAATTTTAAGAAAGTACCTAATATTTTAGATTGGCATTTTTGTGTAAGAAAAAGTGATAAAAACTAAATGTTTTGATAAGAAGCTTAGATTTTATTTTGATAGCTGCACTTCATTTCTAACAAATTGTTAGTTTTTACCCAGAAAAATGTCCAAACAATCAAGACAGCGCAAGTTCTTAGAAGAAATAATATTAATTATAAGAATAATTACAAGAATTTTAATTCTTATATATTCTTATAATTATAAGAATAATTATAAGGATCAGAGAAATAATAATTAGAAGAAATATGTTTGCGGAAAATGTACAATGGAAACACTCTGTATATGTAAAAAATGCGTTGAGCAATGAATTAAAAAGTCTTTGTGTTTGTAATACATAAAAATTTGCAATATACAATTTTGTTTTATAATAATTTTTTTTAGTATATTTCCTTTCTAACATCCATATTTCATACATTCAATCAAGAAACATAAATTCCGGTCCAACTATGGCAGAAATAGGTATTTAAGTGTTGGTATGTTTAGTGTTAAGATAAAGATTTTTGCCTCTGGACTATCAGCTTTTGGTAATTTAAATTTTCTCCGTGTTATGAATGGGTGTCGTCTCAAAAGGCTGAGCAATTTTCTTCCTTGTGATTTCCGTCATGACATTGCATTGTAGACAGCATTTTTCACGTTCATGTGCATCCAATTTAGAATATTTTAAAACAGAAAAATGACAGATTCATTTTGATTAGTCTTGCTTTTGGAAACTGAATAGATGCTTTGTTTAGATTTAGATGTTTTCAGCCTGCTTTTGACCTCACAGCTTCTATAAACGCTGCATGTTCTTCAATAACTCTCGTACTTCCTTTTTGCTGAACACCACTGATCATAAGTGAGATTGCTTTCGAAAGGCAATATTTCTCTTAAATTATCTTACACTTATTTTCCTCGGAAAAAAAAATAAGAAAAATATAGTTACGAATTAGTAAATGTGTGCATAATTTTGTGAATATTCCATTAATAGATTAAATATCTTAGACGGACTCTAAAGAAACAGTTCAATTTGAAACTTTTTGCAGGAAAGTCACGTAATTTGGAGAAAATAACGCCTAAGGGAGAGCGCTTATAAAATACTATATTTCTTATAAAAGATAGTTTGGTAATATTTTTGCTGATTTAGTCATAATCTTGGCGATACTTGGCTGGCATTTTGGCAACAAAATGACAGTTCTGGAAAATTAGTTTCGAAGCGATAGGACTAATATTTACGGAGTTAGAAGAGAATTGCTTAGAATCGTACCGAAAATTCCGAGGTTTCCTCACCAAGCCTAAAAAAATAGAACTGTGTTTCATCAGAGGGAATTCTGCTCCCGCATTACCTTCTGTCTAAATTTCTAAAATCAGTCTTAATGTCTAAATTTTCAACATCTAATTGAATTTAGGTTGAATACTTACACCCAATTTACAGCAGCAGTAGAAAACCATCCTTTATAATTGATAATGTGTTAGGAACATTTGACTGAATCAAAAAAAATTATGATTCTTGTATGTTTTATCCAGAGTTTGTTAGATGTTAATAATACTAAAGATAATTATGTCAATGATAATTCCAAAAATATACCGTAAATAATTTAAATATGCATCCACATTAAATACTAAATCTTCTTCCTTCCAACATTTAAAGACGAAACGTTAAACTTGCTTTAAATATATTCAATAGACAGCTATAAATTCACTCAATGAAAACTACAATATAGATTCGCATCCTGGTCTTAAAAACATCCTATCATTGAATGAATAACTGGCCCATCAACCTACTTTCAAGCCAAATTTCATTTTATTCGATAGAGGTTTTGATGAAAGCTGACTAAATCTGATCATTTTAAAACACCTCTGTATACCAACCAAATACGACCTCAACCAAACTAAAATATCGAATAGACAGAAATGGAGGGGGGGGGGGGAANGGGGGGGGAATGATGCGTTTAATCCTTTTCACAAAAAACTGCTGGATATTTACTGTACTCGACAGTATCTTTTGATACATGTAAAATACAAGGCAGCCACACAATCTCAATTTGAGATTCAAAACGGTGCGATATTTTTAATTCTCTTAATTTTTTCTGACAAAATTATACCAACAAATTCTGAAATCTGTTGTTTTTGAAAAGCAATTAATTATACAGTTGTCTACTTTTTTTTTGATAAATATGTGCAATCGGTGAAATTCTTTAGAATCTTCCAGATCTGGTTATCAATTTAAAAGGTAAAAAATAGTTAAATTTTCATAAATCTCAAAACTCAGATATTTTATTTTTAATGACTTACTCAAAACTAGATCACATAATTTTCTTGCTTTAGAGGTTTGAGAAAAATCCCTACAATTTCTAAAAATTATCTCTTCTCTTTATCTAAATAAGCGACTCTTTTGTTCTCTACGTTATTTAAAAAGGTATTTTACTGTCAAATACTAAATCATCAATATTTTGATAAATGCAACAACAAAAAACCAAGGAAATGTAAATCAAAAATTTAACCTGTACTCCAAGATGGCAAGGTTAGAACCCCTTGATATTTCTTGATATAGAAATGATCTTTGATTGCACTGTAAACAACAACTCGCAAACGAAATTTTGACAGATGCCAACTTCTCCGGACACGCCAATATAATTGAAAAAACGGTAAATAACTACAAACTAAATTTTGCAAATATTTGACTATTTTTGCTTCTATAAAGTGGTGAATTATATAGACCCACGAATTGTTTAAAAATAGTGGTGGATAAAAATCTACTAAATTGAATTTATTAAACCAAGAATCACAATTGATAAACTACCATTTTGAAATATTTATTTTTTGCCCGAAGAAAGTTGGCATCTCTGTGTTGAAGACGTGTGAGACACGTCAATTATTGTTTTGACATAAGAAACAAATGACGTCTCCCAGACGTCTTCGTATGTAAAAGGTTAAGAAATAAATTTCTATAGTTCCACATAACTATTAGAATACATGCTTTTCAGTTGAGTCCATTGAATATTTTTCAGGTAACTACTCAATTATGGATCCAAACCAACTCAAAATACAAGTGAAAAAATCAGTAATCAAGTTACTAGAAAAAGGAGATTTGCAAAGAAGTTGGACTTCTAAAGGTGCTCTTGGATCATCCGGATCCTTTGTCCTGCCAAAAGAAAGAGTTAAAAAGACAAATTACATGAATTCAAATTCCAGAGCTCAAATGAAAAAGTCTATAACATTGAAAGCAAATACAATACGAGAATCTAAAAAATTTCCAAAGATAAGAGAAAGTGGAATCAAAGCTGACAAATTTTCAGTCTCTGAGTTTCAAAAGTTGCTGGAAAAGCAGACCTAGTTTTATTCAACGTAATAAATTTTTTAAAAAAACATTTCCTTATTTAAGGATGTAATCCTGAGGATGGATTTATGTAAACTCTTATAAAGGTTTTAATAAATTTTCTTTTAAAAAATATTTTATTTTCAACATTTGTAACTGAATCCATGGCATTGAGAGGTTTGGATTACATAAAAAAATTTTGAACATCACGTAAATTAATCAGTTTAAACTATGAAATTTTGAAAAATCCAGACAAATGTGTTTTTTAGAAAAACGCCATTCTAAATCTATGGAAACACTACCTATGTATATGAAATTGAAAATATAAGAAGCTTTTTAATTGTGGATTGAAAGTCCATGATGTTCCATGAAAGTCCACAGTTTCATCTGGCAAACAATTTTATTTTGATCATCTTCATCAAAACAATTACTGTTAGTTCTTGATGCAGTGAGGATTAAATAGTTTGATTAATACAAATTTAGAGCAGAAATTAATGTTAAAAATAATCCAACACAAGGACATTCAGTGAAATTCACACTGTACCTTTAAATTTTAGAGGTACCTTTTAAAAATCAGAGGTAAAAATGTTTATCTCTGAAATCAGAGTTTTTAGAGTGTACTTAAACTTACATCACCTTATGAGTATTTTATTTTCAAGCATCATTTGCATTGAATTGAAATAATATTAATTTAAACTAAGTAATTTTTCTAACCTATAGCAATTGATTCATCTCAAATTACCAATCAAGATTTACAGACACATAATTATGCCACTCATTCCTGGGGGTAATCTCTTACACACGCAATACTTAACTGAATTTTATTTACATAGACTACTATCATATCTTTTTTTTTCCGCATCTGCTTAAAGAAAGACATATTATTATGAAAACATGTAACTGAGCTTGTGAATACCAATGGGCAATAAAAATGATTCCAAGTAGCAATTTTATTTGAAGAAAACAAAATGAGTGTTTGGCTGACTGCCTTTTTTATATAACGCATATCTCCTTTATAAAGAGCCCTGGTTTAACGACATATCAGGTTTAACGAGACAATTATGTAAATAATTGGTTTATCACTATAAAAAAATGCCCTTTTTTCCGGACTCTCTTTGTATGCATGACTGTTTAAAGATTTTTGTTGGCAAAGCTATTTTTCACTTTCTCACTTTAATCCTTAATGAATTTAAAATGTCAATTCATATTCTAGTTTTTGCCATACAATTTTGCGCACTGTACTATAACTTTCCTCAAATCATTTAACGATTATATTCTGTACTTACTCTACATTATTTCAAGGTTTTGAACATTGTATGAATAAAAGTGAGATTCGACTTTATTGTTAAATTGATACTCTACCTGATTATTTTCTTCAGATAATTTTTTTTTTTAATTTTTTCAAATGGCAACAAATTAGACCACAATAGTTTTAAAGGTTTATACACTTAAATGTGATTTCAATATGTAAGACTTAAAGTAAAGACAGTTTCTGACGTTTCTTCGCAATATACACTAGAACCGCTGTGGGGACTATCAATATGTGGTGAGAGTGCAGATATACTTTCGTAATATTACGAAATTTTCACGAAGAAAATTTGTTTCTACATTTTTCAAATCCGTTGTGACTTATACAGAAAAAAATTGTTTTGGATGGTAAAAAATCACTGATTACGAATGCATTCATTTTACGGTTTTGCTCAACCAACCCAGCTGAACCCATGAATACCTGACCCCAAAAAGTGGTCTACAAATGAAAAGCACCAATACGAATAAAGTGGTACTTCACTAAGTGGAAAATTCGTTCTGTTTTTTACCACTTTAGCTTTAAAAAAGAAATAATCCTTGAATTGCCATCTAAATATAAATATTTATGTCATTAATATATTGCGGTAGATCGAACTACTTTGTTTTTGCAAAATAAATACTACTAATAAAACAAGAGTGGTACTACCACTTTTTTGGAAAAAGGAACCGTCTCAATGAAAGGCTGCTGGGCACAAATAAGTTAAAAGCGTAAAGTTTACTGTATTTTTTTTAAACATTTTTTCTACAGTATAACGTTAAAAAGCCTGTTTGACGAATATAACTCTAATTTAACGAAGGAATTCATTTTTGAAATCATGTTTTTGAAGAAGAAAAAACTTTCAAAACAAAAATTTTATGTCAATAGGAACGTCTTAACCCTGACCCGCCCCCTTTGACCCCCCTGACCCGCCCAGGAAATACTGTAGACCATCGTTGGAGCAATCCTCGAATCAGTTGGTGGACCCAGCGGTGCAGGGACACGAAGTTCCATGGCCCGAGTCACGCCCGACAAAAAGCAACACAGTCGCTCGGTGGACAGAGGAGACCGAAAGGGACAATCCCGAGTCGGGTGCGGCGGTGCCATACTCAGCTGCAGACGACTCACCAGGAGTGTGGCACTGAGAGACAGCCGCCACTCCACGACCCATCGAGGCATCCTCTGACTGGAAGATTCTGAAACCATTTTGAACATTTGTTAAAAATTACAATCGAAATAATGACCGACAACCTGTCGGTCTTACAAATAAAATGAAATAAAATGAAAATTACAATTTGAAATAAAATTTGAAAGCACCCGGAAAGGGTGGTGCACGCCATAGTCAATGTTGTTGTTGTTGTTGTTAATTTACGTCGCACTAGAGCTGCACAATGGGCTATTGGCGACGGTCTGGGAAACATCCCGGAGGATGATCCGAAGACATGCCATCACAATTTTGATCCTCTGTGGAGGGGATGGCACCCCCGCTTCGGTAGCCCGACGACCTGCGCGAAGTCGAGCACTTTACGGTAGCACAATTTAACGAGGACCAATACCGCACACCCTCGGTCCCTACGCAGACTGATCCAAGTGGTCACCCACCCGCACACTGACCGTAGCCAGTGATGCTTGACTTCGGTGATCTGCTGGGAACCGTGTTTTAATGATCAGTCCACTGCGGGACCGCCATAGTCAACTCACAAAATTTGGGGAATAATCAGTATGAAATCTTTGTTCTTAATACTGCAATCGCCCTTTGGTTGGATGGGCACGATCTTTGTCTTGCTGGGTGATTAACATTTAGTTTTGAGCCGTATTTTTTGTTTGCGAAGTCTCAATTCACATTTACTTTTCTTTTTGCACTCGTTCATCTTATGCCCCTCTTCACCGCAGTTTGCGCAGTTTTCTTTATTCAGACAATCTTTAGCCATGTGCCCGTATGTGTTACACTTGTAACACCTTAAGGATCTTAAGTATTCTTTGGCCCGATGGACGGACCAACCAATTTTAAGTTTTGTCTTTCTCATAATTTTCTTGAAGATGCTAGGATCTGTCTGGACAGCCCAGTGTTTCCCTTGTTTGCCTTTGACGGAGAAACAAACTTAATCGAAATAAATCGATCGAATCGAAACATGTTTTGCCTTGAATTACTGATGAAGTTTATAGTATCTATGTTAAGAAGGCAAATTATTGAATAAATTCTATACTCGTACTCATATATACTGATCAAATACTTGTGAAACACAGAATATAATGGACAGCTAACTTATCTGGAATCAATAGTTGTTTATTTTGTAAAAAATATTTACAATGATCAAGTGTTTTAGTTCAATACAGAGAAGAACAAAATTTATAGTAACTATTTTGCGGCGTAATCTCTCTTCGAATATGATGTCGAACAAGTCAAATATTATTCCAAGTTAACACTACATAGAGCCTTTATGTACAATCTAAGCTCTTAAAGTCAATCACCAGGCTTGAATTATTTCCGAAAACACCATTTTTATATCGTCTGTAAATTGACATCCATAACCAAGAGTAATAAATTTTAGTAGCATTTCTTATCATGTTTATCTTGAATAGAATGATTTCCGCTACAGATAAATAAATTAAACACAGATATAAATCAAAGATTTTATCGAATAAATAAAACATTTCTGCCAACAATCATCTTTGGAAAGACGCTTAAGAGGCCTCTCAACGCAACTCAATATCTTTATTTGATTTTCACAAATATACTTAGGGTGAATTTTATCCGAATTTGATATATAAACGGTATTTTAGATTCTTTATTAATATTATCTAACAAAATTATACCCATTCAGCAATTAACACTATTTGAAAGCTAGTTTATAAGTATACAGTTGCTACTTTTAAATTTTTGATAATTGTCTTTATTTTTGTGCAAGTAACATTAAAAAAAATTTTCAGCATCATCCAATTCGGTTTTTATTATTTAACTGCAATAAACTTTGAAAATATTTAAAAACTGACAACTGTGTATATTAAAATTATTTACTCAAAAGCATAACTTTATTACGGAGAAATCCATAGAAATTCTAAAAGAGATTTCCTAATCTAATAAAGAGACCCCTTTATTTTCCACGCAAATCAAAAATTTAACATTAAATGATGACTCCACAGCAGCCAGTATCAAATACGGACAAAATCTTCACAGCAGTCAGTATCAAATACGGACAGAATTTCCGCTGCAGCCAGTATTAAATACGGACAAAATCTCCACAGTAGCCAGTATCAAATACTTAGTAACAGAATGCAAGCACTCTTCATATCTCGAATAAAAAAGTAGTTACATTTTGTCAACATTTCAAAAAGAATTTTTGATGCAGCTTCAAACATAACATTCATCTAAATATAACACCGTTTGGACTATTCAATTTGACTCAATACATTAACAGGAATTAACCGTGGTGACAGCTGGATGACAACCAGTTGTAGATAAATTGTTACTTCCGCTGTCAATCTGATTCGCTTTAGTTGATAGTCTTATTTAATTGAGAGTCTTATTAAATGTTTGAAGTAACCTTTGAGACTTGATCAATTGAGACTTGTAACCTTTGAGACTTGATCAATTTTCGGCAGTTCAAATTTTAGATTTTTATGAATGGATTTTTATCTTTATTTTTAGGAAATTATGATGATGAGGAAATGAAGATTCCTTTTCCTCGTCATCTTGATTTTAAGTTAATTTTTTGATTTTCATTTTCTCAATACTTTTTAGTTCTTTATTAATTTTTGATGAAGAGATGAGATTTTGATCCAGAGACTCCAAATATTTAAGGCTGTTATAGATTTCTTCTCAGTGATAGTGAGCTAAAGCAGAAATTTC